AGATTAGAAATCAACCTTTCTTATTCTAATTTCAAATTTATATGGCTAGTATAGCTGATTTCAAAAAAAAAAAAATTAAAAATTAAAGTTCGTGGGTCGTGAGAGTCAATCACTGGAAAGATGCAAATTACTCAAAGCGGAGAAAAGTAATCCTAGTTACGTTAGAAATCTTGGGGATTATAGTAGCTATACGGACATTTGACTTTTAAGATACAATAGATCAACGAAGTCTAATCAATTTTAGGTGGAAATTAACTTTTCCCCTAAAGAAAGCTACAGATTTCATTTTTTATTACTTTGCCCACCCGCTTGAACAATTGAAGCTTTCATTACAACAACAACAACAAGCCTTAATCCCAACTTAATTGCGGTCGGCTATATAGATTTCACTATTTCACGTAGTTTTGTTCGAAATTAGACTTTCTTGAAGGCCTAGATGTAGAATGTCATTTTTAACTATTTCAGTTCACGTAATTCTTGGTATACCCCTCCCTCTCCTAATATTAGGTATAAGAATGCCCTCCCAAGCACGAACTAGTGCTTCTAGCGGTCTACGTTAGACATGTCCGTACCACCTCAAGTAGCCTTCCCGCACCTTATCTTCTATTGGTGCTACACCTACTTTATTACGAATAACTTTATTTCTTATGCGATCTATTCTCGTATGGCCACTCATCCATCTTGACATATGCATTTTTGGCTCACTCATCTTACATTTATGTTGTCTCTTAATAGCCCAACATTCACTACTATATAACATAGCTGGACAGATTGCAGTCCTATAGAATTTTCCTTTCAACTTAATAGGCATCTTACCATCACATAAAACTTCCGTAGCATTCTTCCACTTAACCCACACTGCCTCAATCCTATATTGAATATCCACTTCTATATCTCCTTCGTATTGCACTATAGATCCAAGGTATCTAAACTTCCTAGAAGCCCTAATCTCCAAACCATGTAAAGAAATTTCATCTCTTTGATTACTTGAGTTACTAAACCTACAATGTATGTATTCAGTTTTCGTCCTACTTAACTTAAATCCCTTCGTCTCAAGAGTCTGTCTCCAAAGTTCTAACTTACAGTTAACTCCTTCCCTATGTTCATAAACTAAAACTATATCATCTGCAAAAAGCATACACCAAGGAACTCTATCTTGGATTTCTCTTGTCAGCTCATCCATCACAATGGTGGAAAGACAAGGACTAAGAGCAGATCCTTGATGAAGGTCGATCTGAATGGGGAACTCTACCGTGTATCCTCTAGCAGTTCTCACACTCGTGACCACCCCATCGTACATGTCCTTAATTACCTTTATATAACTCACATGCACTCCTCTCTTTTCTAGCACCCACCATAAAACTTGTTGGGATTTGTTTCCCGAATTTTGTATTGATTGTTGGGTTTGTTTCCCGAATTTTGTGTTGATTCTATTCATTGTGTGATTGGCATTATTTTGGGAAAGATTGGCTGGTTGATTGTGTTTGAGAATAGATGTGCAGCTAGCAAGTTCTTTATGGAAGGTTTCTGAAAGATCTGAAAACTTAATTTAGTTTCTATTTTTGAAAGTCAACTATTGATCCAAAGATGGTAAATTGATTTAATTGATATTTGATGGAGATTTCATAGTTGGATGATCTTCCTCTATCTCCTAAGAACGTGTCTAGGTTCATATATCAGTTTCGGGAAGGTTTCAGAATTAAAGTAGATTGATTCGGACTAGTTTTGAGAAAGTTGACCGTGACAGCTATGTTGCAGTTATTGTTGCAACAAGGATTTGCAACAGATTTGGTTCAGCAAATTTTTTTGAGGAAGTCGTAAATATATTAACTTTCTGCTTATTTATTCAAAGACTCTCTCAGTTTATTGTACACCTTTTGATTGTAAGTACAGGTTGTTACCGAACCGCGATATCATTTCTCTCGTGTTCTTTTATTTTACGTTTCTGCATTATTAATATTGTCTTATAAAGTGTTAAAAGACTTAAATCGGTACTTACAATTGGTATCAGAGAGGGTCACTGACGTGTATTTCGGTGAAGTCTTAGTGTACTGGTTGATTTTGTAGGAATGGATGTCATGAGATAAGGAGGATTTGTGAACAAACCACCACTTCTGGAAAGTGTCAATTACCCCTATTGGAAGGCTCGCATCAAAGCTTTCATTAAAGCTATTGATGAGACGGCATGGCGATCTGTCTTAACCGGATGGACTCATCCAACAACTAAAGATGATAAAGGCAATACCGTTCCTAAGCCAGAAGAGAAATGGTCCAATGATGAGAACAAGCTAGCAAACAGTAATTCAAAAGCATTGAACGCCATTTTCAATGCTGTGGATGTTAATCAATTCAAATTGATTTCCACATGTGAGTCCGCTAAAGGATCGTGGGATATTCTTCTAACTGCACATGAAGGTAAGATGCTGTGAAGTCCTCAAAACTTCAAATCCTCACAACCCGTTTTGAGCGTTTGCGTATGGAGGAAGATGAGTGTATTTCTAATTTCAACTCAAAGCTTTGTGATATTGCTAACAAAGCCTTCGCCCTTGGAGAAAAATATTCTGATGCCAAATTGGTGAAAAAGACCTTGAGGTCACTTCCGGAACGTTTTGCTTACAAAGTGATAGCCATCGAAGAAGCAAAAAAACGTGGAGAAAATGAAACTTGATGAACTCATAGGTAATCTTGAAATCTTTGAAATGAACTTTAAGGATAAAAGAAAAGTAGAGGAATTGCTCTTCAAGCAGATTATGATGATATGTCCACCAAAGATGAGACCGACGAAGATGAGGACTTGAGTGAGGCTCTTACTTTACTCACCAAAAACTTCAACAAAATGTTGAGGAAGATCAACAAGAAAGGGAGATTTGGAGAGAATTCAAAGAACAAAAATTCTCAAAAGAAGAATTTTAACTCTCAACGGTTTGAAGAAAAGACAAGAAATAAGGGAAGACAATGCCGAGAATGTGAAGGATTCGGACATGTTTAAGCGGAGTGTGCAAACACTCTCAAGAAGAGAAACAAGGCTGCAATGGTGTCTACATGGAGCGATGATTCAGATGAAAGTCAAGAGGAAGAAAATGATCACACCAGCAATTATGTGGCCTTCACTGTAAGTAATAAATTCATGGATAAAAATTTATTTAGCACTAATAATGTTGTTGCATAGTCTGTTGCAATAGTGTCTGCAACAACCTTTGGTGGAGTTGTTGATGATACATATTTTGAGGATGAAACTGAAGATGATAGTGATGATGATGACCTAAGTCTTGAGAAGATTCAGGAGGCTTATAAGAAGATGTATAGTAAATGGTTTGTTGTTTGCAAACGAAATAAATCGCTTAAAGATGAAGTTGTTGTCTTAACAAAGGAAAGAGATGAGTTGAAGAAGGCTACAACAAATTATGAAATCTTGGCAACAAAGAATCAGAGAAAGCTTGCTGAGACCAGACTCGAATTGGAGCAGACCCAGAAGAATTTAAGGATGTTAAACTCGGGCACAATAAAATTGGATCACTTACTCTCACAACAAAACACTTGTGGTGACCATTCAGGCCTTGGCTACAAGGGTCAAGAAATTTATGGGAAGACTCTTTTTGTGAAAGGAGCCACCAGTACTATGATGCAGTCCTTTAAGAAACTCGGGTAAGATCAGACAAGAAGTTTGTTGCAAAGCCTGTTGTAACAAGACAAGCAACAGACAGGTTTGTTCCTATTTGTCACTATTGTAATTTGCCTGGCCACATTAGACCTAGATGTTACAAATACTTGAATGCTTTAAAAAGAGGTATGATCATTAATCCACCAAGTTCCGCATTCACAAGGACACCTAAAGTAAAGATTGATGTGCAAAATAAATTTCCTAGACGTGTGTGGGTAAGGAAGTCTGATTTAAGGTGTCATGGGGCGTATACTTCTCTTAAAGCATGTTCTACTAATTCTGAGTATTGTGGTAATGGTCACTTTAAGCTTTTGATAGGTGATAAAAGCAATATGCATGGGAGAATACCATATTCAGGGGGAGTAAGACTCGTGGAGGATTTAGGGGGAGTGATTTGTAGAAATCAATGAATTGAAACGTGATATACAGGAGTTTTATTTTGGCTTATTTTTGTCAAAAAGGGGGAGTAGGTAGTCTATGATGTTTTAGTTCATGCAGAGCTTTTCTTGGAGACTTTAGTTTTGCCAAAACAATGCCAAAGGGGGAGATTGTTGGGATTTGTTTCCCAAATTTTGTATTAATTGTTGGGTTTGTTTCCCGAATTTTGTATTGATTCTATTCGTTGTGTGATTGACATTATTTTGAGAAAGATTGCCTGGTTGATTATGTTTGAGAATAGATGTGCAGCTGGTAAGTTCTTTATGGAAGGTTTCTGAAAGATCTGGAAACTTAATTTAGTTTCTATTTGTGAAAGTCAACTATTGATCCAAAGATGGTAAATTGATTTAATTGATATTTGATGGAGATTTCGTAGTTGGATGATCTTCCTCTGCCTCCTAAGAACGTGTCCAGGTTCATATATCAGTTTCGGGAAGGTTTCAGAATTAAGGCAGATTGATTCGGACTAGTTTTGAGAAAGTTGATTGTGATAGCTATGTTGCAGTTATTGTTGCAATAAGGATCTGGAACAGATTTGGTTCAGCAAATTTTTTTGAGGAAGTCGTAAAGATATTAACTTTCTGCTTATTTATTCAAAGACTCTCTCAGTTTATTGTACACCTTTTGATTGTAAGTACAAGTTGTTACCGAACCGCGATATCATTTTTCTCGTGTTCTTTTATTTTACATTTCTGCATTATTCATATTGTCTTATAAAGTGTTAAAAGACTCAAACCGGTACTTACAAAACTTCCCTCGGTACCCTATCATATGTCTTTTCTAAATCTATAAAGACCATATGTAGGTCTTTCTTGGCTTGTCTATACCTTTCCATCAGCATGATAAGAAGAAAAATGGCTTCCTTAGTTGATCTGCCTAGCATGAAGCCAAATTGGTTACTTTAGATGGTAGTTGTGGCCCTTAATCTCCTTTTAATAACTATCTCCCAAAGTTTCATAGTGTGGCTTATTAACTTTATGCCCTTATAATTGTTACAATTCAACACATCTCTATTCTTGAAGATGAGGACAAGAATACTTTTTCTCCATGCATCAGGTATATGCTTCTTCTTTAGTATCTCATTAAAAAGCTTAGTGAGCCACACAATTTCAACATCTCCTAACGCCATCCAAACATCTATTAGAATATCATCTGGCCCACATGCCTTTCCCTTTTTCATTTTTCGTATTGCAGTTTTAACTTCCAAGACTTTGATTGTTCTTGTATACGTCACATTAGGTTCTCCTTGTGACCTAAGATTGTCAAACTCTATCGCATGATCATCATTATAAAGCTTCTCAAAGTAACTCCACCTTTCCCTAATGCCTTTATCTTTTATAAGAACATGATCCGTATCATCCTTAACACACCTCACTTAATTTAGGTCCCGACACTTCCTTTCTCTTATCCTAGCTTGTTTATATATATCCTTCTTTCCTTCTCTAGTCTCAAGTTTCCTATGTACCTCATCTACGCAAGTAGAACGAGCCTTACCAACTGCTCGCTTAGCTTCTTTCTTCGCTTCTTTGTACTTATTAAAAGTTTCAACATCCTTACGCTTTGGTAAATCTCTATATAAATCCCTCTTGGTCCTAATAGCCTTTTGAACTTCCTCACTCCACCACCAGGTTTCTTTCCCCGGGGGGCCTTTACCTCTAGATTCCCCTAGTACCTCCTTTGCCACTTTTCTAATGCAGCTAGCCATGGCATCCCACATAGTATTTGCATCACCTATATATGACCAAGTAGCCTCCTCTAACTTCTCTTTAAAGGCCATTTAGTTTATTCCCTTCACATGCCACCAACGAGTTCGTGGGAGGTGGTTTATCTTAGTCCTTCTATTGCAAAGCTTAATGCTCACATCTAAGATCACTAACCTATGTTGGGTGACTAGTACTTCTCTAGAAATTACTTTACAATCCTTACATAGAGAATGTTCTATATACCTTGTGATAAAATAATCTATCTCGCTCAAGTTCCTCCCATTTTTAAAAGTGATCAAGTGAGAATCTGTTTCCTTGAAAAATGTGTTTGTTATGATAAAATCATGTCCCAACGTAAATTTCAAAATAGATTTTCCTTTTTCGTTTTGAGCTCCAAAACCAAAACCACCGTAGATCCTTTCGAAGTTTTCCCTATCCTTACCAACATGCCCATTGAAATCTCCTCCAACAAAAATGTTATCCTCATTGTCTATACAACACACTAAGTCATCCATGTCTTCTCAATACTTAACTTTAGTTTCCGCATCCAATCCTATTTGTGGAGCGTAAGCACTAATTACGTGAACTTATTTCCTAGTACCAATTTGAGTATAATAATTATATCTCCTATTCGCTTAATCTCAACTATATCATCCTTCACAATTTTGTCTAATAGAATACCAACTCCATTGCGATTCCTTGCCCAACCTGTATACCATAACTTGTGTCCTAAATTTTCAATCTCATTTGCTTTCTCTCCTGTCCACTTCGTTTTCTGTAAACATAAAATGTTAATTCTTCTTCTTACCATAACCTCTACTAACTCCATAAAACAATTGTAGCTTTCATTAGTTCAACTAAATTGAACATTCTAAGTTCTAAAAAATCAAAACATAATCGAAGAGAAGGAAAAGGAATGACGTAAAATTGACAGCCAAAATCCTATCCACTACAGCTCTAAGAGCGGATTCCATTTTCACACTTGATAATCTCAGTAACAATAGTGCTCAAAATAGAAAAGCTTAACTACCACAAAAGTGACATTTAGTACTAGATAGTCGCAGAAGAAAACAACTGGATAAACATTAGCATTTCAAAAGAACATTGCAATGGTCCAAAATATTCCTCAGTTACATGACATCTTCGACAAAACATTCAATACACAGCACATAATCTGCCGAGAGAAAGTAAACCAGGGTAACTATACAACCAATCCAAAATACAAACTTCACACATCCTAGATGGCTATCAGTAGGGAACGGCTATAACCTAAAAGGCAAAGACCTCTCGAAAGAGATTCCAGGGCGGCGGAGCGGAAGCCCGAAGACTTCAAGTGCAGTGTGACAACACACAAGTATGCATGGGATAGCTCTATGCAATTTAACAGTTGAAACCATGACAAACAGACAAAACAATGATGAGAATCAAGGCAATGATTATTCCCAAAACGATCAATTTTATCTTCATGTTCTGGAGCCACATCTTCCTTCTCATCTTAGTACCCTGTTGTCTGAAATCTTGAGCCTGCAATAGAACGTCATTACATTAAGCCTAGATCAGATTCATCCAACAATCTTAATCTGAAACCCAAAGTTTTAATTGCATTTTAACCCTAACTATGGTTCGATAGGCACGGTAAATTTAGACGCCAACCTAAATCCTGCAGTCAGTAAAACTTCCTAAATAATGTTAGTTCTTTAACTGACCTGGGAATGAAGATTCTCGGTCTTGTCCACCAACAACTCAATCTTCTCACCACGGTCAAGAACCTAAAAACCAGACAAATACCAAAAAAAAAAAAAAAAAAAAAGATTTCAGTAAATTAATCTTCATGTACAAACTAAAGCGAGCAAAGCAAAGTTGAAGACAAGCCATTGATAGAAGAGCTAGTCAGACACAAACATGAAAAATCAAGATGTTTCATGGCTGAATTTCAACTTCCAAACTGAATTTGCAACAGTTACGGGGGAGGACAAGAGGAAAGCAGCAGCCCTTTCTCTACCTTCTCTATGTTTTCCATCATAACACCCTTGACTTCAGATACTTGAGCCTTCACTTTTGCAAGCTTGCTAATCTCTTCAGGATGATCCACACAATATTGCATGTGCTCCTTCAATTTGGACCTACAACATTGATTAAATGGTTAGCGTGACGATTAAGGCATAAACGAAATCTCTATGAAGGAGGCACATATATACCCAAACTCCTTGTTAAGGCCGTGTGCTACAGCAGTTGCCGCTTTTCCTCCACCATATCTTTTGTTGAAATCTTCCTTAACTCTCTCCAAGAAGGCAATGGGAACTTGTCTACCAACAGATTCTACTGCAACTACACAATAGGCTGCAGAGGCCAAAAAATGGGAGCATTAGTAAGTTAGAAATGGAAGATTGTAAGGAAGCTACAAGAAACCAACAGTGACAGAACAAATGGTCAATTAAACTCATAAACTGTAGCGCACTCATGATTATAAAACTGCTACTAAAAAATCTGTCTCAGTCCACTATCCTTGGATGGTACAAGACTTTGTTATTAGTAATTAAGAAAACGGCAGTCTTTTCTTCCCTTCTTTTCTGTTCAACATAAGTAATAAATTTTTATACGAAGCTCAATTCCTCCCTCCTCTGACAACAGTCATAGGGAGGGGAGAGAGGAGAGGAGAATCTACAGTCTACGTTCCATACATGGCCTTTAAGTTTTAACCCATTGGCTGCTAGCATAGTCACTAATCTTTCCCAATAACTCTGTCAAGTAACTTCATAAATATCTTTCTTAGCTTGCCTCAGTCACCATAATAGAAATGTCTCCAGCTAAGCAAGGAGAAACAATTAGTTGAGAAATTTCCACTAACTTGCCTAAATCCCCATAAAACGATGCTAAATCCCGATCCATCTACTACCATCAAAGCTTATGGGGACACCAGCTAGGCAGCCGGAACTTGTTTCTACAATTTGCTCAAAGATCTATTTACAAGGCAGTATTAGTCTTGACAAAAATGGAATTAGTAAGAGAAAATTGAACTAGATCCGAGATATTAAACACAGAAATTTATGACGACATGCTCCATGTCCATGGTTCCAAATTTGACATTTAAAGCCTGCTAAGAAGATTCCAAAGTTCTCTGAGTAATAAAAAACACAATATAATTTAATTTAATTTATGTAACCTTTGGTGGCTTTATCTAAGAGATGGAAATGGTCAGCAGATCCCTGTTTCACGTCCAAAAGATAAAAAATATCTAACCAATCTAAAAACTCCAAAAATGAAAAACTTCCCCCTGTAGAGGGTTCGCGATTCCGTAAGTATCCCATCCCCAGATTCAAATGCTGTTCTCAGCTAGATCAACAGCAACGTCCAAAGAAACAGATACCAGAATTGCATAGAAAACAAAAGAAACTCATAGTTGTCCTCTACTTTTCTGCTGGAACTATAACGTACATGTCAAAATCCATTTATTTTCCAGATCACCATAAAAACATGGACCTCTAATCATCCAATCCCGATACAAAATTTCATCCTAATTGCAGTACATATTAATCGCTCTCTCTCTCAATTTCTTAGCCTCAAAGCAAATCGATTTGTAAAACCAACGAATCTCCCTGTTCTCCCAAGAGTTTTTAAAAAAAAAAAAGAAGAACAAAAAACAAAACAAAAAAATACCGGTTCATCTCCAAAATTACATTTCCCAAGGAACCTTACAAGAATGCAACGTGACATAAAAAAGATGAAGTCAAATTGATAAAACAGTTTTTCGCGATCAGCGATTGCAAATAATTTCGAATTCACGAAAGAAACAGATGGATCACGAAAAGAAAAAGTCAACGAAATGGACAAATCTAAAGAAATCCAAATCAGATTCAGATTTGGCCGAGAAACGAAATCCAAAACAAGAAAAACCACACAAGACGCATCAAAACAACAAGAAACAAAGATCTTATCAACGTCAAAAGAACTCACTGAATCCGTTTTCGACGAGGTAATTGAAAGTATGGCCATCGCAATTGTAGGTGAACTTGTTGTTGGAAGCCGGGAGCTTCTGGAGGCATTGGGAAGCGATGCTCGTGAAATTTCCGGTGAACTCGGTGTACTCGGCGAGGATCACCGTCCCTCGGGCGACGAAGCTGTAGATCAGAGACTGTTGGCCCATCTCCAGGAAACCCTAACCCTAGAAATCAACACAAATTGCTCTGGAGAAGACGAAGATAGAGAAATAGAGCCGATTGCGATCGCAGAAGAAAAAAAAAAGTGCTGGATTTGCGCTGGAAGAAGGCGTGTTCTGTGTGTGTGTATATATATAGCAATTTTGTCTGCGGAGAATACAAATTTAGGATTATATAAAATGAGAGAGAGAGAGGGGGGGGGGGGGGGGGGAGTGTTCCTTGAAATAGAAGTAACGAGCGTGAGATCCGTGTCGCTGGAAAATGCAGTATTATATTATATGATAATTATATTTAAAATATATTTATATATACACATATATTATATAGTATTATATTATATAATAGATATAAAATTTATACAAATATATTTATATAGACATATATAGTGTTATTATTTATAATATTTATATATATATATGCAGAATGTATAGAATAAAAAACAACGATGTTGTGGTCTCTGAACATTTCATTTCTTTTAGCTGCAAGTATAAAAATGGAAAAAATGGTTGTAAATATAAGTGTTAAGAGAAATAAAGATGGTTAAATTATATAGTATGAAATAAATATTATAAAAATATTTATATTACCTTGTTCTTGGGCGTTTTATAGATTGTCTTGTTGTTCTTGATTCATGACTGAAAAAATGGAATAATTTGTAGATACGTTTTTAAATAAATTGATAATCTTTGTTGTGGTGAATGTGGTTTACCTTGTGTCAGGTTTTTTTTGGTGTTGGAGTGTGTTGATCAAATGTGGTTGGTGTTGATAGCTGTGACGATGGTATTGCCTGTGGGCTGAAAGATGAGAAGATTTTTAAAATTGTGATTAATATAATATAAATGTTATTTATGTATAGTTGGTAAAAAATTTTAAAGACATTATTTACCTTTGTGGTTCTTCTGTTCCTGTAGTTAACTGTTTTGGTGGTGATGATGGAACGTGGATGTCTTCAAATATTTTAGAAATTAATGTACTCATTTGGGTGCCTCGTTGTTGAAAGAAGACTTGGAAGATTTTTGATTGTCCTCGGATCTGATGATAGCCGGTGGTATTATAAATAGATCGGTAAAGCCTTTATCAATTATTAGTGCAGAACATGGTTTTTTTATTAATGCCTGAGCGGTTCTACCAAAAGCGATAACTTCTATGTCTCCAGTATGATCTTCAATTTGAATTGTTAATCTATACCTGTAATATACACACACATATATATATATATATTTAATGTTATTAATTTTTTGTTAAAGTAAATAAAGATATATAATAAATAAAAATGGTACGGTACTAAATTTAATTACCATGGAGATGGCGTTGACTTTATATGGCCATGACTGTCGCACCACCAACCTATTCTTGCTTGTTTTAATTGTCGATAACATCTGGGGCAAGAATTGTAGAACCATCCTTGAGATGTTGAAAAGTTTACTATGGCCGCTCTTATAGTGAATTTTTCACCATGCATAAAAGATAGAATATTGTGGTTTTAAATTGTTTACCAAGTGTAGTAAAAAATGATAAGAAAGTTAATAGTACTAGCCAGATTATTTTGTGCATCCAATGTTTTGAGTTCGTTTATTGTTCTTCTGTTTGCTGATATTTGTTCTTCAATTGTTTGGACGGGTGTTTTTGGTGGTGGTAGGAATTCAATTTGTTGATTTTGATGGGAAAATCTATATGTATACAACTATGAATAAGTTAAGGAAAATATAAATAAAATGTATGATTATCTAATATGATAAATTTATTAGACTATATTTTTTATATATGTGTGTTTACCTTGTCTTTAATGTTGTTGTTTCTGGGATATCTGGATCAATATAGAAGATTGTTCCTGATGTACTCGAAACATATGAGTTACCTTGAAATATAACAGAGTAAATAATAAATGTATACTATATTATTATATATATGTATATAAAAATATTATAATAAAGTAATGTTAAAAATACCTAGATACTGCTTTGTTAACATTGCTGAGAAAAC